TTATTCGAAATTTAACCTGAACTATTCGAAAGAAAGATCATTAGAGAAGGTACGTTTTTTTATTTGAGGGAGTGCTAGAAGTTTCGGGCGGAGTAAACTTTTAAAAAATCGTTGTAGCCCTCCGCATTTAAAACAGTGAGAAATTCATGACTTTCCTAATAAGTTAATAATGAGTAAACTGCAGCTTTTGTCGAAACAAAAAGGTTTGATCATCCACAAAAGATCAAACTTTTACAGATGCCCCCTCCTCTATGAAGCCCCATCTTCCTCCCTCCCCCAAACCTACCTTCCTTTAAGAAGCCGTGAACAAATTGCCATATATGAATAAAAGGTAACTCCCTTTTTTACCTTAACTATAGCATCTGTAAGAAATAGCACTGTGTTTTCTCCCTTCAGACCAGCTCTTATAACAGCTTTCTTCAAATCTTCACAGAACTCTGGCCACAGGTACACGCGGGACACAACAGGCATTATGAAGTTACATCCCTCGATGTAAGCTGCTAGTTTAGCCACGGTGGATTTACCAGTCCCGCCTACCCCTATCATCATCATGTGGTTGCCAGGGTTACGGAACACGCGTGCAGCACGTGTAATGTGCTGTACAGCCATGTCAAAAAATACAAAACGATGCTGCATGTTGTCCCAGGAATGTCTGGCTCGGTCATAGTGATCCTGGTATTAATATCAATAATAATAGTAATTATACAGCTTCTCATTAATCCCATACAGGTAACTGTCCAATTATTTTCTTAATTGGACAGATCTTGTTGATATGGGATTAATTAGGCAGCTATATAATTAATAGGTAATGGGATTTCATGCTCCCCAATCAAGAAATAATAAGACTCCAAAAATTCCTCGGCCTACGGCCTCATCCAATTTTGTCAGTCCTTAGAATTTTCCTCGTCCAATTATTTCTTAATTGGACAGCATGGATTCCTATTACATATACTAATAGGCGAATATAAAATGTATATAAATGATGCAATGCATGTTTGATAGGTCTTGGTGGTGCGATAGAGTGAGTAATGGTGCATCGCAATGTGATGTGACTCGCTGTGTAGTACTATGCAGTGCTGTGCTGTAGTGAGGTGTGTTGCAGTAGTGCTATATTGTGTGCTATGGCGTGGYGTGGTGTGATAAAGTGTTCCATGCTTTGACTCGCTGTGCAGTGCTGTGCAGTGCTCTCCCGTGGTGTGGTGTGTCAAGGTGAGTAATCCTATATTGTGTGCTATAGTATAAAGAGTGGGGTTGGTGAGGTGGTGCGTTGTAGTGCAAAGTTTTATGCTATGCTGTCCAGTTCTGTGCTATAGTAAAGTGTGGTGTGGTGTGCCGTTCTATGATGTCTTGTGGTGTATTATAGTTCTATATGGCGTGGTGATGCGTGGTTCGATGCAGTGTAGTGTGGTGTGCTGTGTCGTGCTTTGGTGTCCTATGGTGCAAAGTGGTGTAATAAATTGTGTTGGGTGGGGTGGTGCTTGTTTGGGTACAGTGGGTGTAATAGGGTGGTGTGAAGCATTGTAGTGTGCTGTGCTGTGCCGTGTCGTGCTATGGTGTCCTATGGTGCAAAGTGGTGTAATAAATTGCTGTTTGTTGAGTGGTGCTCATTTGGGTACAGTGGGTGTAATAGGGTGGTGTGATGCATTGTAGTGTGCTGTACTGTGCTGTCTCGTGTTATGGTGTCCTATGGTGCAAAGCGGTCTAATAAATTGTGTTGGGTGGGGTGGTGCTTGTTTGGGTACAGTGGGTGTAATAGGGTGGTGTGATGCATTGTAGTGTGCTGTGCTGTGCCGTGTCGTGCTATGGTGTCATATGGTACAAAGTGGCGTAATAATTAGTGTTGGGTGGTGCTTGGTTGGGTA